TGGCCCCGCACCCGTCCGGGGAGCCGGCGTCGGCGCGCCCGCGGGGTCCGCACCTTTAATGGACGGGACCACCGGCGACGGCCTCGATCAGATCGTCCCCCGCCCCGCCGGCTGCCCGACGAAGCCAGAGGGGAGGGGGTCCGGCCACTGCCAGCTGACCCACTCTTGATCAAACGGACGAGCCGTCCTAGAGGTCCATGACAAGGTTACTTACATGCCTTTTGGTGATTGGGGTGTTGTCGTGCCACTATAGTATTATGCGGATTACATGGCAGTGAAAGTGGCGATGGTGCGACCGGCGATTTGAACAAAGGGCTTGTGAAGGCGTCAGCTTGGACGCCTGCACAGCCACAGTCCTGGCTGCTTGTTCATTTGGTGACAATTTTGACATCGCTTGGTAGCTTTGTACTTTCAAAACTTTCCAAAAATGTCGGGCAGGACTCCACCGCTTCGTACATTTCAGAACCATTCTGTGCACAACTGAATGACCACGACATTAGGTGTCACATTGGTTCGATGGATAACAAAAAGAAAGACCAGTGTCAGCGTCAGATTGGCGGTGAGTAATGCATGCCTTTTGCAAGGTGTAACAACACTCAATCCAGACTGGTAGACGCTGAACATGACTCCAGTGGTAAGTGGACATGTCTGTCGTGTCATAACTTTCACATGGCACTGATCAGCTTGAAAAAACTTTGTTTTAGATGCAGCTTGAAAGCAGCGGCGTCTGAAAGGCTACCACAGACGCCATACTAGGATGTCATGGGTGTTATCTCTTTCTGCGCACGACTGGGCCATGCATATTTTTACTAGTCAGAAACTTTTCTGAGACTCTATTCTACATCTCTTGGAAACTTTGCTTGACTCTTTCCCGTTTTTCATCGGGTTATTCTAAGCATCTTACAGACATAAGCCATGCACATCCCATGCAAGTGATGCTTTAGAGACAAAGACCTCATTCCTTGAAACGTATGCCTGTTTTGAACACCTTGTAATCACGGTGTGATCAAAATGCAACTGATACTCTACTAAGCAGACGATCAACATGTGGCCTGTGCTGCACGCGCTCGAAGTTCGCCACACCGGAGCTGACCGTCGAAGTCCTCCGGCAGAAGATGCCTGGCGGCCTCAAGCGTGGCGTCGTTTCGCGTCCAATGGGCCGGAAAATTGTCATCCGCGGGGAGGACATTTAACGGATGGAAAGCGAATGACGGTCGGTGCGGTGTGCTCCGATTCCACGCGTGGTTCTGATTCGAGCCAACTGAAGATCGAAAACGCTGGAGTCGGCAATTTACCGTCTGGTTCAGAGATGTAGGCGCTCGTATTTCATCCGCCACGGCGTGGGACGAAACACTGTTCCCTTGCCATCAGCAGGAAGCGTCTTGCTCGGAAACGGTACATGTCAGTGAGTTCCGCTCGCTGCTATTTCCATTGACAGTTACGTTGGTCTTGGAGAGATAAATGAAGCATCTCATTGCGGCGAGAGTGAATTTACAGCTCAATTAATGCCGGGGCCTTCTGCCGCCAATTACCCGCTCCCAGCCGTTTTTTTATTTGTCATGGGCGAGAACACATACCAGTGCTCTGACGCGGGCCGTAAATGAGTGCAACGACGCATGCCTTTTTTATCTGTGACGTCCTCTGGCACCACGAGCATCACACACTCTCCTCTCCTATTCCTCGCTTCATCTGTTGTTCTCGCAGCATGCTAGGAGAACAACCTTACCGGGGGCAGGCTGCGGCTGTCAGCCACGAGTTAGCTTCAGCGCCGTGCTGCTCGGGAGCCTGGCCAGAGCAATCCGCGCGGCGCGCACATCCCTGAGCAGGGTCCCATTGCAAGGACACTCCCGGCAGCGGTGACAACTCATCACGGCGCGCACATCCCTGAGCAGGGTCCCATTGCAAGGACACTCCCGGCAGCGGTGACAACTCATCACGGCGCGCACACCCCTGAGCAGGGTCCCAGTGCAAGGACCCTCCCGGCAGCGGTGACAACTCATCACGGCGCGCACATCCCTGGGCAGGGTCCCTCTGCGAGGACACTCCCGGCAGTGGTGGCAATTCATCACGGTGCGCACATCCCTGGGCAGGGTCCCATTGCAAAGATAATCCCGGCAGCGGTGGCAGCTCATTACGATCGGAGCTTTGCCCACCTCCCGCACTAAATCCTTACATGCTCATTTTTTTATTCTGTTTTACATAACCCCTAATGACAGATTTTCCGAAAGGGTTATCTTCAGCCTTCATGGCCGAACAGGTTTCACACAAGCAAAGCAACAAAGAAATTGCGGGATGTGGTCAGACTTTGACCATGCTGCTTGCCCTTTCAAAACTCTGGAACTGGTGGGAGCGATGGTCCCCAAATGCTAGAAAAATACGCAACAAAGCTTCCTTTGTGAGTCATTTTCAGTGCAAAAGTGCATGGTTCGAACGGACACGGCTCCAGGAAATGTACGGTCGTGGCATGGCCTATCACGCCGCCATGGTGGGCGTGTCTGCCGCTCTGCGTCAGCTGAACACTCCGCACTGCCGGTTCCGCATACCGCCGGCGAGTTCTGCAGAACTGCATCGCTGAGAAACTCCACTCATTTGCCCCCATGCCTTGAGATTGGTGCTGTCCGCCCCGTGCCAGCCCAGCATTGCAGGCCCGGTATGCTGCAATAATCCAACGTCGCAATATTCACACGGTCCGTCTGACGACGTGGCATAAGACAAGACGAAGGTCTGTGTGGATATCTCGCATGCCTTTCATATCACATCAGCTGCCGCCCGAAAACCAGCCGGGCTTCGCGGATGGTTCTACGTGTCTTTGAATTTTTAATGGAATGCATGACGGAAAATACCCGAATATACACAGCGTACACGCATCTGAGTGAGAACAAAGGAGGAGAAAGAGGGAGACGGCAAGAGGAAGAGGGGAACAGAGAGAGAGAGAGAGAGAGAGAGAGAGAGAGAGAGAGAGAGAGGAAGAGAGAGGGAGAGAGAGAGAGAGAGAAGAGATAGAAGAGAGAGAGAGAGAGAGAGAGAAGAGAGAGAGAGAGAGAGAGAGAGAGAGAGAGAGAGAGAAGAGAGAGAGAGAGAGAGAGAGAGAGAGAGAGAGAGAGAGAGAGAGAGAGAGAGAGAGAGAGAGAGAGAGAGAGAGAAGAGAGAGAGAGGAGAGAGAGGAGAGAGAGAGAGAGAGAGAGGAGAGAGAGAGAGAGAGAGAGAGAGAGAGAGAGAGAGAGAGAGAGAGAGAGAGAGAGAGAGAGAGAGAGAGAGAGAGGAGAGAGAGAGAGAGAGAGAGAGAGAGAGAGAGAGAGAGAGAGGAGAGAGAGAGAGAGAGAGAGAGAGAGAGAGAGAGAGAGAGCGAGAGAGAGAGAGAAAGAGAGAGGAGAGAGAGAGAGAGAGTAGAGAGAGAGAGAGAGAGAGAGAGAGAGAGAGAGAGAGAGAGAGAGAGAGAGAGGAGAGAGAGAGAGAGAGAGAGAGAGAGAGAGAGAGAGAGAGAGGAGAGAGAGAGAGAGAGAGAGAGAGAGAGAGAGAGAGAGAGAGAGAGAGAGAGAGAGAGAGAGAGAGAGAGAGAGAGAGAGAGAGAGAGAGAGAGAGAGAGAGAGAGAGAGAGAGAGTTGGAGAAAAACAGGCCACCTGGGGCCCATGCTCACTTCCCAGCTGACTGAGTGACTGCTTTCAATCCTCACAGACGGAAACGCATGGAGTCGCAATCAAAGATGGTCCGGAACGGCACGCTCTTGCGCATTGGCCAGTGGATCCTCTTTCTCTCATTCCCTCTCTCCTCCTCTCGCTCTCGCATGTTCCAGTGTTGGCCCAGAAAACGCACCCGTCACGGATCCGCTGTTCTCCGGAGATGCAGCCCCCGTGCGGCCGGCTCCGTTTCACCTTGGCGCATAACCTCCGCTTTGTAACTGGTGTCGGCCACCCTCTCTGTCGATGACTCCATCAGGCTAGTAAGTTTGGTTAGGCTAGCATGCTCTCATGCATATGTTGGGGCATCCGTTTCGCATATGTGACATAGTTTCTCCATTACTTCGCGTCGTACCCACACCATGAAGATGACTTCGGCCGCTGCCAGCGTATACTGAATGGGCCAATGTGTCGTTGGGGACCCAATAACCACCCCGCAACGGCGACTGATGTCGCGAAGTTTACGAAATGTCTGCTCGAACTTGTCCGATACCATCACACAGCCTTGAAATAGCCGAAAAGATTCCGGGCATCCATTTTGTGGCAAAACTGGCGGCCGTGGCCTTACCGGAGATGCGTATCACCGAGCTCACGCCATCGGGGGACCATTGTGATAGCTAAATGGCGCGTGATGCGCGGAGGTCACCCATGAAGCTCGTGGCACTCGGTGTCAGAGATGGGCTCAATCCACACTGTTCTGGTGGAAGACGCTGCTGGCTTTTCACCGAGGCGCGCATGCGTAAGGAGAGTTTTCGGGAACTCTGAGTGTCAGTAACGACGCTGCAGCCGGTCAACAAGGTTCCGCACGTGGCCTCTCTGCACGTGATCCCAGGGCCGGTCAGACTGCCGACAGCAGCGCAGATTCTGCACTGGAGCTGGGGAGCTTGATTCAGCCCCAGCGCAGATCTTGCGGACTTGTTCTGCTGATAGCGTGTTGTGCGGGTAGATCATCACATCACGCGTGCCGCCGTCGTGTTTGTTCCCACAGGGCACCAGGCAGTGACCTGGTACGGCGACATGTTTGCGAGTGGTGACCTGATGTATCTAATCGCACTTTGTCAGTGGCGACCTGTTGTCACATCGTACTTGCCGCTGTCATGTCTCTACCGCTCGTACCATCAGGCAGTGGCCTGTCACTGTGACATGTTTGTCATTGGTGACCTGTTGTATCTTATATGCTCACATGTCGGTGCAAAAATAGTTTTCACTATGCAGGTACACGGAATGAGAACGGATTTATTCTGACTTCGTGGTTTCAGGATTCTTAAGCTACTTGCCAAGAGGTTCACGCTCACCGTGTGAATTGGAAACGTAAATAGCGCTGCAGGTGCGGAGTATGTATATTACATGACACATCACATGTATGAAAATCTGCATGTTACAAAGATCCCTGGATATACTTTAATGTGTCTAGCTGTCTACTTATTCTAGCCATTTCAGCAGAACAATAATCTGCAGAGACTTCTAATCAACGTCTGGCATTTCGATTACAGCTCACACGTCATATTCCTGCGGTTCAGTTCGCATAATAACGGCGCAATTCCCAGAACGAAACCAACACTGCCGGGGATATATATATATATATATATATATATATATATATACTCATGTTTTATGCATAGACGCTAGGGTCCAGCTACTACATGCTATATAAAGGGTGTCTATAAGTTTCACTTGGGCCTATAGGCTCCATATCACTCGTGATGACACTGTGGACCAAATGCATGATGATCGTCGTAGTCATCACCGCGCGCACTGACTAGATCTGCTTGATGATGAATCCTCACCCGCCATCTTCTGAAAAACGTCATCTTTTGTTACATAAGCTCAGTCAGGCGATCGGAAATAGGGCTAGCGATAGTTCTGCGCCACGAAATGAAACGAAATATAGCACAAATGCCAGACAGAATCATCGAAGAGGAAGAAACAGTTTTCCACCTTATTGATAGCGGTCGAGTTGTTACATTCGCGCCGTTTGACTGCATTCAGACTCGCCTGCCTCATTTGACATCAATGGGATTAAACAAGTCTTGAGGATAGATAACATCCACACTATTGTAAAGCAAACGCCCCTAGCCTGCGTAGCCTCCACCATCACTGCCCGTGTAGCTAGTCAGGAAACATATGGCAGTCCTCGTCCTGTCAATCCTCGCCGTGTGACGGTCCTCGCCCTGCGTCAGTCCTTGCCCTGTGTTAGTCCTCGCCCTGTGTCAGTCCTCACCGTGTGACATTCCTCGCCCTGTGTCGGTCCTCGTCGTGTGCAAGTCCTCTTCCTGTATCAGTCCTCGCCGTGTGACATTCCTCACCCTGTGTCAGTCCTCGCCATGCGACAGTCCTCACCTTGTGTCGGTTGCCAGCCCGCACAGGTCATCACCCTCCTCATCCCTCACTACACGTCAGCTCTCACCCTATGTCGGCAGTCGCAGGTGGAGGCCGATATTTAAGAGGACGCTGAAGCATGTCAGCATCCACACGGCCACTGGTTGAGCGGCGCCCGCTGCAACGGCAATCAGTTATGGTTCAGGCCGCACGGTCTGACACGGCAGACGGTGACGTTTTGCGACACATGCCAAGTGTGGCTGCACCGCTGATGAAAGACAGCCCAGTGGTGATCACGATCATCAGATTTTGTACTGAGGCGGGGAGCTTCAGAGGCTGCTGCGCCATAATCTGACAAAGCGGGTAACGCGTTTATGCTGGTGTATGCCCTGGCCATAGTTCTAGCCGAAAATCTGGCTCAACGAAAGGCATCACTAATTTAATACTCGTCTGACTTGCTATTTGATCATCATTGCACACTCATAGAACTGTGAAAATATTGTCCATTGCTACAATTACAACAGATGGATAGTCTTTCCTCGCTCCGAAAATATAGTTAAAAAGTTGTCGCTGACCAAGATTTAATGAGCATTGCTCGCCCAATTGAAGCCACACACTCACCACTTATCCGCATCCTTGCCAGATCTGCAAGAAAACGTCATCTGTTACTTGGTTACTTGCCTCTTTAGTGCGTTGGTAAGAGAAACAAAAAACACAAAGCAAGGTCTTTGCTGCCGAGAGCGGCCCCCCTTGTGGAATATGATAGCAATATCCGCGTGTTGCACTGCAGTTCGCGTTTTTCTGACGCTCACTATCGACTGATATCCAATTTCATGACTACACACCGTAAAATGAGCCACCGCGAAGCGAACACTGATGACCAGCCCCAAACAGCAGCTCAGATGCAATCTCCGACCAGCAGCGCGAGCGGCGCGCGCGGTCGGTGCGGTTGTGCGCTCACGTGATCGGCGCGAACCACGCCCTACTTGCCTGATTGCGCCGGTTCTCCAAACACGGACGCAAGCGACTGAGGTGCGGTGCCTGTGCCGGCAGAACAGGGCGGTGAGGTTTTGTGCGATCACTAGGACGGGTGCAGCGTACGGCCACGTGTGCGCAGGCTCATCAGACGCGGTGGGTGCATAAGAACTGGCTCAACACAAAAACGAGGACTTGCGACTAAAAGCATTCCGGTGTGATTGGGTGCAGGCCACTCGAGACGGCTATCTGCTCGCTTCACGGAGCGAGGCGTCGTTGTCGAAGGCTTACACAAGGTTATATCTAGCGGCAAGCATTGATCGGATGCGAACAGCTCAGCTAATTGAGTCGTCACTTGTTCAGCTTTCGGGGCACACCAGATTAGTTTCATTAGCCCAAAGACAGTGGAGCGTAAAAAGCTGATTGGGAAACGCAGCAAAGCCATTAGTAGCCATTGGCTGTCTTCCGTGTATACGCATTTGACGAAGCTCTATCCACGTGACCGTGGATTTCAGCAGTGCACTAGTTGCAAACACTTAGAGCACATGTGCCAATTTATACCATGCAAAGGCTTGTACACCTTTAATTGTGCCCCTCTGCAATATGATTACGAAATAGCAGATATACACACTATATGGCCGAAATACCCGTATGGACCTCATGGCGACGTCGCATCAACAGAGCGACGAGGCTCCCATAATTAAGCAGTAATATCAAAACCACGACGGAGCGTTGACTATTTCCTGCCCTTCGCGCCCAGCTGGCGCAACATTCCACATCCAGAGGCTCGACCGCAGTCCGGCGGGCGCCGAGCCGCCGCAAGCCACAGCGTCTGCCGGACCGACCCGGGATGCGGCGGGAAACAATACGGCGCTGCGGCCAGCACCCCCACCCCGTCACACGACCGCTGCGCCCGGGTCCTGTTCCCACGGCGCTGGGCATGCCTCGGGTGTGACCTACCGCAAGGTGCGGCAGGATACCGCCCTGAATCGTCGTGCGCCACCGTGACGCGCGGTGTAAGCTCCCTGAGAGCCACGGTCGACCGGCGCTCAGGGTCCGCGCTAATCCCGCGAGCTTCGCCGTGAGGCACCGCAAGGCAAACTGTGATCCGGCAACGGCAGTCCAGTGTGACCCATTGAGAGCGCTTCCCAATGGGGCCATCGAAACCGCACCAGGCTATCGCAGCCCACCTCGCGAGTTTCGCCGCTGATGGGATCTCATCGCGGCCCATCGTGATCCATAGTAACGGAACCGTAGCGTAACCGCAACGTAACCCCCCACAACTCCTTGGGATCGATGGCGTCCCACCGCCTAACGTAAACAGCTAAACCTAAACACCCAAACCCCCCACCTAACAGCGCACCACAGCTTACCTTGACCCTATCCACCTTGAACCCGTGACCTCGTGACCCGGTCGCGACTTACCGTGGAAGTACATGATGCGCCGACTACGCCGGTAGTCCGTGTCGGGCAGCGTGAGCACGCACTCGATCACGGCCTCTGGCGGCAGGTGGCGGTCCTCCTCCAGCTTCTCTACGCGCACTGTGTAGGCGCCGTCCTTCCACGATTTTTCCACGCGAAGGCCGCGCATCTGCCGCCTGTGGCGAGGCCGGGTCACGCGTCAGGTCAGTCGCAGATCTAGTGAGCCGACAGGTCAGGCCAGGTCACCCGTCAGGTCAGACGCAGGCCTAGCGAACCGCCAGGTCAGGCCAGGCCACACGTCAGGTCAGCCGCAGGTCTGGCGAACCGCCAGGTCTGGACGAGTCACCCGTCAGATAAAGTCAGGTCAGGGGTCTGGTCAGACGTTGGGTCAGACCAGTCATAAGGTCAGGTCAGGTTATATAAACGGGAACAGGGCAGCAGGCTGACCACATCGGTCCCCGCTGTCGGTCGACTTCGATGCTGTGATTGTGCGGTACTATCGCGAAAAGCCATGTTCATGAACGGGTCCACCAGACGGCAGATTTGTTAGAGCAGAACATTCCCGATCACCCTCCTTTTCCTTCCCTTTTCTCTTACCCTCTCACTCACTCTCTCTCTCTCTCTCTCTCTCTCTCTCTCTCTCTCTCTCTCTCTCTCTCTCTCTCTCTCTCTCTCTCTCTCTCTCTCTCTCTTTCTTCCCCATGCCACTCAGTCATTGTACTGTTCCTTTCCGTGTCCCCGCTCTCGCTCTCGTTATAAATCACTCTTTATCTCCATCCCGACTGTAGAAGTCGTGCCCTACTGGACACGTTTCGCGCCACCTTCGGTTCACAAAACATGGTCATCATCCCGATAAGATCGACCACCAGCCAGAAGCTCATCTGAAGAGGCTGACGGTAGCCCAGCTAACGACCTATCGAATCTTTCATCAACTTTCACTCCATGTCTCTCCATGATAAAAAAGCGACCAGAGGTGTTGTCTAGCGTAGCGCCGAGTGGGCATGTCCTGTCTGACACCGCAGAACAAAAGGCAAGGGCCCTGACATTTGACTGAGCTACCAAAAACCCCAAAACAAACAAAATCTTGAAAAGGTCAAGGAAATCAGCTTGGCTACTGGTCAACCTATTCACTAATAGAACAATGAAATCTGAAGCCCAACTGGTCTTTGACAATTAAAATTGGTATGGCCACATCAGAGGACCAGTCTGTGCCCCGACCGCGACCACAGCCGGGAGCACTGGGTCAGTGAATGCTGGACCAAGAGGCGCACAACGCTGGCGGCCTTGGGACAGATCCGACGCCGGCGGTGCGAGATCGAATCTGTCGCGCATCCCCGCGACGCGCCGATTTATTCAAAGGAAGCCACTTGAGGCTTCAAATCACTGACACGGGTGATTAGGTCGGCCATTAAAAAGCACTGATGTCCCATCGCGCGCGGCCCCGTCGAAAAGTCTGTCATTATGAGCGGTCGTACGACTCCGGGGATGCAGACGCGCCGCCGCCGTCGGCGGTGGCCAGAAACCGGGCCACATCGCGGGCGCAGATGCTGATGTATTTACGACGCATCAAAACAAAGAGATTTTCATTATGATGAATGAGAAAGAAGACTTCCGAAGCACGAGTCAGGTCGGCTCTGACATGCTGTGTGGGAGTGAATTGACGAAGCTTGTGATGATTTGCAGGGCTGCAGTGTTTTCCACGCGTGCCCTTCAGTTTATTGCTGCTGTAAATCTAGCGCTATTTGATTGGTGATGACTTAATACTTTGATTTTGGCGGCTTCGCATATGCTAACCGTTAGGAAAATGGCCATTAATGAAATTGAAATCTGTATAGGGTATAAGGCTGTCGGAATATGAAACCGTATGTAAGAGAATGGAAAGCACAAACGCATACGTAAACGGAGGGCGGCTAAAGCATCAGTCCCAAAAGATGCGATGACGTTGAATTACCGTTTGCATTTACAGCCCGCTTTGTAGAAGGTATTTGAGCTTTTCAGACCACATTGCCCTTCTTTTGAAAAACGTGAAAGACAACCACCATTTCCCACATCACATTATCTCTTCATATATATATATATAATAATTGAATGTCCAATGCTATTCTATCGGACATCAACGCAGTAGTTCTGCGAGAAGTTCGACGAACCCACTCTTAAACCCAAGCAGCGTTTTCAAGATTAAAAAAAACGTCATCGTGATGTTTCTTGCGCTGTTGTGCTGACACCGGTCGTCGACGATAGCGCTACCAGTGCTACTCTATACACCCAGCACGGCAGTTCGCACCCAGCACGCCAGTTCGCACTTAACACGCCAACTCGCGTCCAGCTGGCGCAGCCGACGAGGGGGGGGCGCCGCCTCCCGGGCTCCGGCGACCCACTCTCTGCGCCGTGGCCTGTCCGCGCGCGTCAAAAAAGCCGATCGGTATCGCGTCAGGGCGCCGGGCGCGAGATGCGCGCCGACACCGGTTCCCTTTTTACCGACGCTATCCAGCCTGATCGCGTAATTACTCGTCGGCCGGCGGCGGCAGCGCCCCCTGTCGGCGGGTGCCGGCGGGGAGGCCGGCTGACGACGGCTGGCGTGATTGGCTGACAGAGGCGGACCTCGCGGACTTCGCGCTCTTACTGCCCTTACCGGCTTCAGGGACGATGAGATGGGTGGAGGTAGGGAGGGAGGGAAGGCACGCGCCACGATGGGAGCCGTCCAAAAGAATTCTAGCGGCAGTGTGTGTAGTATGCTGCAGCTCTTTAGGTCCGAGATCCTACCTTGCTGGCTCACAATACCAGAGTTAATGTATGCTGCTTTGTGAGTCCTTGGTGACCCCGGTGGCGGACAGCCACCGCTGAGTTCGGGATCGGGAACCCAATCTTCATCTTGACGGTGGTGGTCTGCATGGTCAGCTCACAGCTCCCGACAACGGCAAGAGCGCTTAGTCGCATGGCAGACCGCTACCGTCCACAACACAAGTAACGGATCTCATTGATGCACGCACCACTTATAACTGAGCCGATGATGCCGCCTGACAGCTGCGTGCGCGCGGAGGTGACGTGGTCTTGGGTGAACCCTGGTTACCTGTCGCTGTGTGAGCTGCCAACGAACAGGTCGACCGCCGGCTCCGGGTACACTCCCTGGACGAGGCAGGTGATGTTGACCTTGTGCCGGGCAGGCTTGCTGCTGCTCAGGTTCATCCCTCGCGCCGGCGCTGCAGCACAACCGGCGCAGGGGTCACACCAGGTCAGCCGAGGTCAAATGAGCTGTTGCAGGTCAGCCGAGGTAGCATGTGCTCATCCAGGTCAGTCGAGGTCAAGTGAGTTGGTGCAGGTTAACTGAGGCAACATGTGTTCGTCAAGGTCAGCCGAGGTCAAATGGGTCCGCCAATGTCATTCAATGTTGATGTAATGCCGAATGATGGGCCGGTAGACCGTCAACGAGCTTTCGTGTGTGAGTTGTTACTGTGTGAATGATTATGTTAAATGGTATGTTTTTCATGCTTCGCACATTCAGAATTAGACCATACGTGTAGAGTACACTGAGACGAAAAAGTACTATTATCACTTTTGCATTACCTGACAAGTTGTAAATTTTTGTGTGAATGCAACGCTCGCAAACAATGCCGGTCCGTTTTGTTTTGGTCTGCACAACCATTCACACCAGTTCACATGTGGTCTATAACATAAGCGAACTCAGGGATGGTTATCAGTGTTATACGTAATGCTACATTTCAGTGGTGCAGAATCCTGTCTAAATTACCAGAACCATTCCTAGAAAGCCGTTTAGGTAATGATACATAAATGATAAGCTGTCAACAGATAATGGTAAATACCTGATGGGCACAGTATGAACATGAGAAAACGACTTAGTGATTCAAGATGAGTTGCTCCCGCCGATACTTTTGAAACGCATTATGTACACATTTAGCGAGGTTTGTAGCTCAGACGATGACTGGATGAACAGCAATTACATTCTATTTTTCATTAGTGTCGATTTGTGAGATGGTGTGAAGTATATGAGGGGATGCAAACCTGCATGCAGTTTAGGCATGGCAGACCGTATGTGCATGGACGTGTGCACCATAGATTGCATCGCGCAATCGCTGGATTGCGTCAGTCGTTTCAAAGATAGGATCCTAAGCGGCTGTCGTCCTCATATGATTTAGCATCTATAACGGTAACAGTTGTGCTTTGTAGTCCAATAAGTGCGGTTTTATTCTTGCATCAACCCACAGCACCTAAGACTAGTTGGGTAAATGTGCCGCTCGTAAAAGATTCGTCGAGGCTTGTTGGATATTGTACGCACGTATCTTTCACAAGGAACAGGCTGCGATAGCTGGTTTTTACAACCATATTGAGAGCGTTTTAACATTGATGGCTATCTAATTCAATGTGCATACGTGCCTGCATCCATATTTCATAATGGAAAGTGTATCTATGGGTCGCAAATGTCATACTCGAATGGAAGTCAATAGTCATCCAGCACCGTGCATGTCAAACAGCAACAGGCAATGAGCGTATCTGTAAGATGACTGTGTGCAGAAACGGACGAAAACAGGTTCTGGGAATAGCTAAACTAGATCCCGGTTGAACACAATTCAAATGACGAAGTAAATAGGCGATTGAATAAGCCCGTAAACCTAATCCGTAATCCGATTCATATTGTTTCACAAGAACAGTGTTGAGTAGCTCAATGTTCTGCTTGAGATGATGGAAACTGGCCACTATCATCGATGAAATGGTGTCTCATCTGGTTTCATGCTATTTTGTTTTTCGACTGGATTGGATCCCCGCCGGTTGGAATCCGTTCCTACGTTTTATCTCCTGTCTTTTCAGGATCCAATTTCCCAGATCTAAACGGTCACCGTCGCTCGTCAAAACCGCTCACGCATACATGTGAACATTCCAAACAGAGTCCGCCCGGCGCGGCGGCCCTCCCTGCTGCGCTGTCTCACCGTAGATGACCATCTTCTTGGTGGCCGAGTCGACGCCCTGCCACGTGGTCACGCGGCACGTGTACTCGCCCGACATAGCCGTCGTTGGCCGCACGATCTGCACGGCGCGGTGCACCTTCAGCGGGTCATCGCTGACCACGTGACCCAGGTTGACGTGACCTCGGAGCAGGCCGAACGCCTGCGGCGGGTAGCCGGGGATCCACTGGTAGACGGGCGCCGGGCTGCGGTTGTGGTACCACTTGACCACCAGGCCGGCGGCGGCTCGGTCGGCCGCGTCCAGCTCGTACTCGCAGTCGAGCACGACGCTGGGCAGCGAGTCGTTCAGCACCACCGACGGCATGCGCACGTGAGAGATGTGCACGTTGGAGGCGCCTGCGGGGAGGGCGGTGCGTGAGACGCAACGACAAGCGTAATGGGCGACCCGACGGGATAGGCGTCTGGCGTCTTGCAGCCATCGAAGGTTTTGCGCGCAAGAGAGACGGCTTCAGGCCAAATGTGACTAGCTTCATGAGAAAATATGACAGATTAAGGGATTTGGCATGTCCCTTCCAAAATGAACTTCTACGCGTTATGCAGTTTGGCTGAAATACTGTTATATGTTATTTGTGGGAAACTTTGATTTGTAACGTTTGATCGCTCCAAATAAACTGACCTTTCTCACTGTTCTTCTGCTCATGAAGCGCGCCTACGATAACAGATTAAAATCCCATCCCAGATAATAAATACTTCCCTCTCTTTCCAAAACATCAGCTTTGAAAGAGTTGCACGCACGCGTATATCAAATGCCTGACCGCCAGTCCGTATCCCGCATCCCCGACATGTTCACTCATCTCGCCTCCCACACCTGGCGTCCCATGTGCACACGTGTAACTCGCGGGCCTCACAGCAGCTTCCCACCTGTTCTCCGGGAACTGCACGCCCCCCGGGCAGGTCGTCCGCGCGGTCGGCGGTCACCGCTTTTGTTAAACACCCAGCCTGCGGCCCAGCCGCGCCAGCCATGGCATCCGGCCGCATTCCGGCCATGCATCTGCGTCCACCTAATCTTGCAAATTAGATGTCGGAGTCCGATGGGACTGCGGCGGGGCGAGGAGACCAACGACGGGACCAGCGGCGACCAGCGATCAGCGAGACCAACGAGACCGGCGGCGGGACCGCCTCTGCGCGGTGGCGGGGTCGCCTCACCTCGCCGCTCTCGCCGACTGACGCTTATTCAGGGGTCGAATTATGCATAAGATCGGCACCCGGCGGCGGCCGGCGCGTGATTATCTCATAACTCGGGCGGGGGCAGAGGTGGCGGCCCGGGGGCGGCGGCGGCGGTGGCGGCCCGGCGGCGGCGGCGGCGGCTCCCGGGCGGCGCCGGAGCCGGGTGCCGCCGCCGCCGTGGCCTCGGGTCTGGAGAGCTCTAGCGCGCCGCAGGCCTACAGCGGAGGGGTGAGACCGTCTCACCTGGTACTCCGTGCCGGCGTGGAGCCCAAGGAGTGAGAAGCAGGCGACATGCAGTCGCGCGTTGGAAGCTGTAAAGGAGCTGTGGGTGGCCAGCTAGTAACCAAGGTTTGCATGTACTTGGTGGTTGGCCCTTCTATGCACATTTATGTCCATTCTGCTACTAGTGCAAGTGAGCTTGGCATGCCGCTGCCCGTTCAGGCGGCCTCCATCTCGGATCGAAATGGCCATAGCCGCCATGAGACAACTTACTAAAAATGCCTTCCTTTAAAAAGTATCGGGTAATGCGCAAAAATGCTTACTCCAAGCGACTAATGACGGGATATTAGGCATGGAAAACGACAGGGCGTGGAGCGAGAGTGTGAGGCTCAAGCTGACAGGCGTTGTAAAAACAGGTCAAAAAAGTTCCAGTGCTTCTACGGCGATCGACGGCAAGAGCCATGAGATCGCATCCTGGGGTTTTCTCTTGACACGCACGAAATATATATTTGCTTAGAATTCGGTACTAGCCGCTAGAATTTCCGGCAACTCATTTGAAAAATCCAGATTGTCTGTTAAGGCGTTGATCGCTCTGGGGAGAAAGTTTACCCAAGAATGCGCGCCATTCATTTATCGTTGTGCTAGACAAGATACTGCTGACAGAGGGACTGATCATTCGGCGGAAAAGAAACGGCAGCTGCGGCATACTGGGCATGAAGTCTAGCGGAACCCTGGCGCTGGAATCGGATCAAGGCTACCGAGTGCCACGAGAATGTTCATGCACCTGCCTGCTTTCCACCAGCTGTGTGAGCAGGGTGGGCAGGGCAGGGTGGAGCTGAAGACCACAGCCGCAGCTGGAAACCGGCCGCGACGGAACCAGTCCTGGCCCGCTTCAATTACGGACAAACAATGCCTCCACGGGGACAGCGCGGACAAAAACGGCCGGCGCCGGCTGTCACTTGACCCGTCTCGTCACCCGGTCCGCCCCGCACCCGTCCCGACTGGAAACCTGCTCCCGCCCGGGGCCGACCGATGGGGAGCCACCGCACGCGCCGCGGCCGCCGCCCACCGCTCACGAAACCGCCGGCGGCGTACGCGCATACACGTGAACCGGTTTCGAATGATCGGCGTGCGTGTTCGTGTCGGTGACGAGCGCGTGGCTCGAGGATCTCTGTGCTTTTACAGAGACATCAATATGGATGAGCATCATAGCAAACGCTTTGTTTAGTTAGCATCCCTATGTTTACCGCGAAGTGATTAAGACACTCACGGCGGCGGCGATGGCGATTTTCGCACCCTTGCCGCACTTTGCTGCGCTTCTTTGTCTGCTCGTTGACCCCATGCGTATTGCGGCACACAAGCAATTTCAGGTGCTGACATCAGGTCGGCAATCTCCGGCCACTTAACCCGCGGAGTTTAATCAGCGTCTACACGCTCGCATGGCTGGCACGTTTGCATGTCAGGCTCCACCACCCCACGTACCTGATTTTCGTGAGCAAACTCACGTGATTGTTTTAACAGCTCGTAAAATTGCAGGCTACAGTTATTCGCAAACCGTGGAACGGCACGACTGTGTCACCTACGCAGTACATGTGCTTTATTATTGATGAGCTGCAGCTGAACAATCACGGTGCGTCCGAGCGTTCCCCATTCTATCCAAATTGACAACTTTTTGCCGCTCGACCCCGACAGAATGTCAACCTGTTGAATAAAGTATCAAGTCATCAATTTCAAAGCGCAGCAAACTTGCCCAGACATTCGCATTGCATTTCTTATCAAGAACTGTTAGGTAAAAAACAAGCATTGTTAGCATCACGTGCGAGTGCAAATCTGACTCCTCCAAAAACGCTGCCGAACAGTGCCGCCCGGTCGCGGCGCGGTTCGTAGAAGGGCACAGGCGCTGCACCTTGGTCACGTTGATGTGTGGTAAGTGATATCAGCCAGCGCAGGGGCGACAGGCGAAAACCTCGGCGTGACAAGAAACCGGTACGAATCAGTCGTCAGCATCACCGATCCCTCGCCCCGGCCGAGGTCACACAATCCCCGCGGTGCAGCCCCGTCAGAACGCAGCGCTCGGCGGCTTCGGCCGGCCCGCCCTCGTGGCCGCCGCGTTACTCACAACTGTACCGCCCCGTGCCGCCGCGCGGAGCGCCACAGGGCGGGGCTGCGATCGGCAGCTGCCGGTCGACCGCCGGGCTGGGCGGGGCGCGACGGGCCACCCGCGGGACGCGCCGCGCCGGCCCTGAATCGGAAGCGTCACACTTCCGGTCGGCGCGGCCGCTTCCGGCCGGCCATGCGGCGCCACAAAAGTGACATGCACGAGCCGAGCGGCACGCACGGTACCTCTTTCAGCAGGATTTCACAAGATCGGCACCGCTGGTGACGTGGTATGGCAGCTGTGTCAACACTACCGTTTGCCGCTTATCTACAACAGTGTAACGGAAGTTGTCACCACGAAGATCAAGAGGAGTGTGGAATGTGTTGTTCGCGTTATCGGATGAGAGGTGCGATGCATATCTGTAGCACGTTCACGGGAAATACACATCTGTTAAATGCTTGATTGTGAGGTAGTCTTCGGCGTGTCACGCATGTGAATCATGAACAGTACCTGAGTGTGATCGTATCATTAAGACATATGGGTTATCAGATTACCCTGCCCCCTTTACTTACAAAACGGCCAGATGAAACAACTTTTTCTCAAATAAAATGCCACGTTTACCTGACATTCATTACAGAAGCACTGTACAATTCGTTCCATCAATACTTTTGATGATTATGCAAAGTTGCACCAATGCGGCTGTACAAGTAAACCTAAGGTAAATTGGATCAGCCAAAATAAGAAAAAATGCATGACAAATCTGACCCGTGCGACTGAGCAAATAACCACGAGGATATCTCACCGAGTGCGTGTCCGAGCAGAGCTGCGACCGCCAACATCCGAGTCCACACTGCGGCCGGGGCCGCCATCGCCGTCCGCTTCGCGACCTCACGGCTCCGCTTCACGACCTCACGGCTCCGCTTCACGACCTCACAGCTCCGCTCGGCCTCACATCACGAGCGGCGAGCCTTCCGCGCCGCGAGTCACGACCGTGAGTGGGCTGGCTAGGCGACCGCTCCAACGCCGTCTGGGGTGCCACTGACGTCACCGACCCGGCGTCACCACCGTCACTGGGTTTCGCCGGCGTCACTGAGCGTCACGCCCGTCACGGGGTGTCGTGGTGGCTGCACTGAGTCCGGAGAGGACGGTAGGGGTGCTCTCGACTCGCCGCTTGCCGCCCGCCGGCCGACCGAGGTACTGTAGCCACGCGCGGGAGACAAACCGAGCTGTGGACGCGCCGCTAGCGCCGCCCGCGGCAGCCGGGCGAAGCTTAGCGACGGCGCTAGATGGGACGCGGGATCGTTAGCCTTTTGGCGAAGAACACAAGTAAATGTGTCGATCCTGACAGAAATCCTTTGTGGATAACGTGGTAGTAGCCGTGGTGGGAGCTCAAAGTTAGTAATAATCACGATTTCGACAAGCATCCACGTAGGTTATGAAAAACCTCGAATTACACAGAAGACAGTTTTGATACGGAACAACATGCCTGATATGCTATTCTTAGCTCGTGATATGCCCCCGCATCGGAGGTCACTAGGCCGTGGGAAGGGGGGCATTTGGAATCATCCGATTTTGCCCTTTGCTGGTAGGAACCTCGTTCGTTTTCCAGTCAGCTGTTCCGTCCAATCTCAGAGTTGCATTACACCATGCACGATTTTCCGTCATTTGTGGTTAACCGGCTTCATTTCTCGTTCAGTTCGTCATAAGTGACTTGACTTATTGGAAGATCGTGTACTGTTTGCTTATTGTTGCCTTATTAACCAGTCGTTACATATTCCACTGGTATATTTTAATACATCGACATGTTATTTTGCATGAAGATGTTAAAAATTGTTCTTGCATTATTATCATAAACATTTCAAGACTTTCTTTAGCTATTTTATAACCAGCAATTTCCACAATGATTTGCACATCAACAAAGCGTCCCACATGACACTTTTTTGATAAGATCCGGCTATGACAGAACTTCAGAAAAATATCGTTCCGTTTCTAGAACCATCCAGATGTCATAAGACTGAAGTCATCGTCATCTTACCGCTGGTGACACAGCTACATCCCTGATAGAGCATCAGGCTCATGTAACTCAACTGAGCGACATCTACGCGCTGTCAGCCTTATCACGGCTGCGGTGCAACCGTGCACAAGCAGAGGCACTGAGCCTGCTCTCAGGATCAGGGAGATGGGCCTGCCGTCTGATTGGTGTCGGTCTGCAGGGGATTACGGGAGTGTGGACTGTGCGAGACTTGAGAGCAACAGGGACCAACAGATTGCTATCGGCGTGAAGATCTGCGAACGCTTTCGTCGTCTCTGTGTGAAGTTGAGTATGTTGTTTCAAATATGCAATGCGTGAACGTAATATTTAAAAACGTTATGTTTCAATGAGTAAACGCAAAGACGCACCACCAAACGCGATTTCTAAGGGCATTCATACTTTATGCACTGTTAGATTGCTGCTTAGCAACTCGCCTAGATACGTCAACGCGGCAAAATTATTCCGCGCATCACTCAGATACCGCGTGGGCTTGCGACATGCCACCAAACAACCCAGCATCATGCCTGACAAGACAAGGACGTCAAAAATGCGTAATCCGATAGCTGGTAACGGTGTGTGAACGTCGCAACAACAGCCCACCAATTAGTGCAAGGCTTGGTTACAATGCGTCCGGCCATCAGCAGAGCGTGACGTAGTTGTGCCCTGGCCGAATCGAAGGGCCAAGGCATATTTTGAACAATTTGAGGCAAATAACTGCGGACGACAGCGGACGGCCGCATCTGCAGTCTTCCACCATCTGACAAAACAGCAGGGCGTTCAGGATGCCAACACCCAGAGGAAAAACTTCACGACGCAGCCCGGCTGCCAAAGACGAGCGGGATTGCCGCCGCGGCAAAAACGGAGGACCACCAGCCGCGTCTGGGTTAAAGCGGCGCAGCGCGGCGCGCGAGCGCACCCTTTGTCACGCGCCGCTCGCGCGCTGTCGGGGTCGTGAGGACCGGCTGGGCGTCCGGTCCGTGGACGGTGTGGAGGGCGGTCCACCCGGGGTGGAGCGGGTCCACGCGACGGGTCACTGGCAGACCATCGACTGGCAGCCGACCGCCTGCAGTCGCTGCCAGTCACTGGCCGCAAACGTCGTCACAGGCGCCCGTTCTCAGAAGCCGCCTCTGAAGGGTGGGGTGCAGGGGGCGGGTGCAGCGTGCAGCGCGAGGCGGTCTCGGCCGGCAGCCCACGACAGCGCGGAGCTGGGGAGCTGGGAGCCGGCCGGCGGGGAAACGCGAATCGAGCCCATTCTCACGGCTGTAAAGCTGGGCAAGGCCACGCTCTCTGCCTGAGAAACACTCTCCCGTAAAAACCGCCCGTGGGACGTGGAAAACAGAACGGAGAATTATGCCGGTGTGTGTTCACAACTGCGCGCTGGAAAGCTAGCGACGATGTGATGTGATGTAACGGTGCGATGGGTGCAGAGTAGAGGCTTTTACGGGTGGGGTTTCTTTTGACCAATCCACTCACAATCCCTGGGGTTGTGCCCATCCCTCCCGCTGCGTATTTCTAATCGCTTGTACTCTTCCGTTATCCACCTGTTTCCATTTTCCAGCACTTCATAGTTCTAAGGTATGAAATCAGTTAAGGAAATTTTACACCGAAATATGCTGCTTTGCGTTGATAACTGCAAACGTCATGAACGTAAAGTATCACTAACAAAAGTGTGACTGGTCATATTGTGCGACATTGCTTAGTGTCTTTTGAACATTTCGTAAACTTTTTACCCAACCGCTACCCATGCCCGTAAATTCCCCATAATTGCCCATTCCATATGGCTAATCTTGGGCTTAACCAGGCAGCGATGTGCTCCATTGCCGGGAGCTCTGCCAGCTCACTACCCTCAGAGTGTTGTCCCCACTAAAGAGAGTCTTAAAAACGCCGTTTCCATCTCATGTTTACAAGGTGTCCTTACGGCAGCGCTGTGAGGACTCGTTTTCCTCATTTGGTGCATTGTATCACTTCACTTGGCCCCGGCCGGTGTTTTTCGGCACTCGCAACCACCTGAGAAGACAAGCCTTTCTGCTGGTTTCTCATAGTCTGGCCGTTGGATCGGAGATATCAGAATGGTGATATGTAGCCCTGATTTATATGATCCACCAGCCCTTGCGTTGAAATCTAAAACGTACGTGATGATGTTACGGGCCACACGAATACCTTAGAAACCAGCAAAATCTTGGCATTATCTCAAAACGCTTTGATAATCGCTGGCCCTAAATTGGCACGAAACGAAAGAGCGCACTCCTGCGCTTTAGAATCTTTCCATACTGTTGACGAAAGTGAATGGTCAAGGTCAGGTCGTGTCAACGTCGTGTCAAGTCTGGGTCAGATCACTTCATTTGACATGATGTTTCTGCTCTTCCAGTTCACATGTCATCTATATGTCACTAATTAATGAATGTATCAGCTTCAATTGCATTTTTGTAACAGAAATGTGCCCAAGCAGATATTTTATTTCACAGTCATAACTTGACCTCACATGAGCCCTGATGGTAACCTGCCATGCTGCAGGGAATATCTTCTAACCCTGACTGGGGACGGCCATGCCGGGCGACTAAGGCCTTCACGCTAAGCCAAGACAAGCAAGGCGGATGCGAGTTACTGCAAATCGAGTGGGAAAATCACCGTGGAAACCTTTCCTGGTGACGTAACAGCTTGCTGAACTACCCCAACATTGCACAATTTTCTTCCAAAGTGTGTCAAACTTTGCATATTGGCTATGGTCATCTATTAGATACAGGAGCTTTGGTAACCCCTACCTGGCGCGGTTCGTAAGCTACTGCCGAAACTCAGAAGGGGATGACTTTAACCCCCCGCCGACGGTCGATTATAAACGCGTAAAACGTGAAGTAGTACGCGTGAGAGTGTTAGTCTATGATTTTCGAGGTGCTGGATGAAACATAACATCCTGGCTTTACCTCTTTGTCATTTATTATATATATACAGAATGCATTCGAATAGAATGCTTGCACTACATTAAGCATACAATGCTATGAAATATGAAACATGACATACAATGAAAAAAGCCTGCAATGAAACACGACATCTTGGCTTTATCACTCTGCCATTGATTATGCATGCATCATGCACCTGAATAAAAGGCTTGCACTACATTAAGCACACCATAGAGCCTGGTTGGCCCTAAAACGGGGCAAGTTAAGCCTACCCGGCTGTCAGACGGCACCTCTCTTTATTGGAGAGCTCGGCTGAGCCTTTGGTTGTCAACAGCACCATTTGAAGTTAACGATGACTTTGATCTTTGTAGAGATGCCTGCGATTTTCTACGACACTTGACGCATCTTGTGATATCATCAGCAGGGTCGTTTGAAGTCCGCAATGACTCGAGTCTTTAACAGGATGCCTGCAATTTTAAACGACACTCTTCCTCCTGTGACGATGCGTTTTCAGTCATTTAGTCTAATGAGGCATGTCATTAAGGCTTAACGCTCAGCTGATGGAGAACACAAAGCTAGTTACAAGAAAGGGTCGCCACAACAGCGATGCGTCACAGAGTGGCGGGCGAGCGGAACTTCAGACAGATGCCAAAATACTGTGAGCGAATACCGATCGTGGTGCTGGGTAGGTTATTTGCTTGCTTCACGGCTTTCTCGAACTTCCGTCTTTCCGGTTAGGCAATAGTGCTGACTTATCTTCAAGAGTCATCTGTAGCGTTTCAAGCATTTTCGCGATGCCTTTAACAGTGAGTTGTCATGAGCAGCTAACATTCTTTTTTATAGGCTCAAGGTTAACTATACACGACTTTCATTTCGACCAGCGACAGGAATCAAAATTCTAGCCGGCAAGTCAACGACTTTCACATCGGCCTACACTGCTTAGATCAGATGTTGGGATCAAGGGTAGTTCATCATCAGTGATGCCGTCAGTGATCATCATCCAAGGAATGTCGCAATCTACGCGCTTTCGGCCACCTGTGCCGTCAGTGAAAGACACGAATGCAACTGTGCGACATATGTCAACGCGCTGACCTACCAATGAGAGACGCCGCGGTCAGATCAACGGTCTGCGAGTGAGAGTCGATGAGGGACGTCCAGATCTGACCACTGATCTGCAAGTGCGAGTCGGTGAGAGCTTTTCCGGTCAGGGCAACGAC